CTAACCTGCGAGCACCACAGTTCCTTGTGCCACCTCAAAATATCAAAATACAAAATAGGCGCGACCGCACCGACCCACGCGGGGCCCCCTTTCAGGAGGGGCAAAACGGCCAGGGAGCGATGGCCAGCCGAAGGTCGAATGGTAGAAGCAGCAGCCCTCCTAATGACAAGAAGTTCGTAATCCGCGACTCCTCTCACCTCGCTCCCAGGGAGAAGCCCAGGGGGGGCGGCCCCGCCGAAAAGAAGAAGAAAAAAAAAAAAAAAAAAAAAAAAAAAAAAAAAAAAAAAAAAAAAAAAAAAAAAAAAAAAAAAAAAAAAAAAAAAAAAAAAAAAAAACGAAGGGCCCTCCTAGACCCCAGGGCCTGCCTGAGACCCGCCACTCTGGCGGTCCGTTGCTTAAAAAGGAGCCCCTAACTTTCTGTTTTTTTGTCGCGGCCCAGGGCCCCAATACTCTTCCCCGCGGCATCGTCAACCCCGAGGTTAACAGCGCTGGAAGTAATAGGGCCCGTGAGCTACACTCCGAGGTTGGCCTGGATGGCCCTGCCTAACTTGGCAGACGAACAAATGAGGCTGGATTTGTCGGCCGCCACCTGCCCACCGATGCCGTCAACGATGGTGGCGTGGAGTTGGGGCGCGCCCTCTGTGATGGCGTCGACCACAAAGCGAAGGGCGCCGACCGCACTGAGTCCAGCGCCATCGATGTAGAGCGCCAGCTCTGCACCATGCCTCAGCCTGACACTGTCGAGCGATTCCACGGAATTGACCCTGATCAGGGCAGTAGCAAGGGGGCACCCAGCAAGGATGCCAGCACTTGCGTACCGCGGGCCGCCGCCCAGACAGCCCCCCAGGGAAAGAAACCTCGGGGCCCTGTAGGCCCTGACGGTCAACTTGGCCATGGCAGGGGGGGGGGGGGGGGGCAAGCCTCAAACATCTGTCCTGGAGTCGCTCGAAGTGAATGAGCTCGTAGTAGTTGTACATGTCCTGAAGAAGCGCGGCAGCATGCAGGCGATGAGTGGCCCCACTCTCGCTGCGGAGGCTCTGCCGCCACACAACGTCGGACGCCCCTTGGTACTTGCCCGCAGCAAAGTAGGGGCGAGAGTGCCCCCCCCCCCCCCCCACCACCACACCACACACACACACACACACACAACACACACACACACACACACACACACACACACCACACACACACACACACACACACCACCCACCCCCCACCCCCACTCTCGGCGGGGCACCGACGCGCTTTGCCCCACAAGCGGTAGGGCCCCATGAAGATCCCAATGGGCCGAAATCCTCCAGTAGGTTTCCCCAAGAGGGCCAAAACAGCGGCATCCATCTGGGCTGGAAGCATGCTGGAAATCTCCATAACCTGCAGGATCTCGCACAAGGCCGAAACCCCAGGAAAGGAAATCAAACTGAAGTGTCCCATGTGAAAACCGTCCAACCCAACAGCCGAGTTCACCTGGTAGGTCCTGGAGAGGCGAATGAGCTCCTCGGGGTCCAACGGAGGAAGCTCAGGGGCAGGCTCGAAGTCGGCAGTAGGGAACCCCTGCGAAGGGGTGCCAAAAGCTTGCCAAAGTTTAGTGGACTTGCGGCTCTCGTCAGCCAGTAAAGACCTGGGGTCGCTGACGACACAGCCGTTGGCCGAGAGGGTAGAGGAAGGCTTCCACGGCTTAGGTTCCGAAGTAACCTTGCGGGCACGCTTGGCGCCCTGGTCGATGTTCCCCCTCAGCCAACTGCGCCACGACGCCAAGCTCATGTCTCTGGCGCTGCTCTCAGCCTTGGAGGCGATTTCCGAAGCCAGAAGAGACAGCTCGAAAACAGGCTGCTGGTGGTCTCTACAGAAGCCCGTGCCCAACTGGCGGACCGTGGAGCGCAAAGTGCCCAGCAAACCCTCGCGCTCCCCAAGATGTTCCAGAACGAAGGGGGGAGAGCTCAAAACGTAGGACTCCAGAGCCCCAAGGTGATGGGTCGGAGAAGGGGAGCGTGAGTACTGGCTCCTACTCGAGGGCAGGCACCCGTCGCCGTCGCCATCGCCGTCGCCCCCCGTCTGAGCGCGGGTGGTGGCTCGAGCAATATCCGAGAGATACGCCTTGCAGTCCTAGATGCGATTACACAACCACCTGACAGAGCACAGACAGGGGCGCCTAGTAGGTTCCCTGTCGCGCGAGAAAACTGGCTTCCAAACAAGTTGGGGGCCCTTGCCACTCGCGCCCCAGAAGGGCAGCGAAACTTGGGTGGCGCTGGCAACCTCAACCTCGGCGAGGTCGGCCCACCTCTTGCAAGTACGACTAAGCTGTCTTTGAACGCCCTGCCCTCTGCCCTCTCTCGCAGCCTCAAGGGCAGCACCCGGCACTCCGAGAACAGGGCCCCCGGAAGGGAGTTCCCGAATGGGGCCGACGGCCCGAAGGGGGGAAGGGGAGGGGGGCTTCCGAAACTCAAGCACCTGGAGCTGAGCGGGGGAAGGGAATAACGCAAGATCGACAGGAGAGTGGGGAGCGAGGGGGGAATTCAGATTAACAGTCACCTGCCTGACGACCTTGGCGATGCCTGCTGAGACCGCGAAAAAGTCCGAGACCTTGAGGCCGCCCGTGCTGCGGAGCGTGTAGTCTCCACCAAATGGAGAGATCAACTGGCCTCTGAACTCGGACACAAACTGGGATTGTTGAAATTCCCCTGGCGTCATGTTGACGTCGCCTCCCAGGGTGACTGGGAGGTCAGAGTGAGAAAGTCCCGCACCGATTTGCGATCGTAGATCCACGTTGCGCTCGGACAATCCCCCGGCATCATGGAGATAAGCTGGTCCGACGAGGACCTGACAACCACCTGGAATATCGACCACGCAAGCTCCAGCACGATGAGGGGGCAGTACGAAGCCCGACGACAGCGCGTGAAGCCCGAGGTAGGACCTGACCAAAACTGCGACACCTCCTGACGACCCAGCGCCCCCCCCCCCCCGCGCTGCCGCCGCCCAACACGACTTCCAGCCACGACGGAAGAGCCACTCTGATGCCTTAGAGATGTCGGCTCCTGAACAAAGGTGATGCTCTTGGACAAGCAACGCATCAGCAGTAGTCTGAGGCAGCCACTTGTGCTTAAGCGACTGCCAGCCTGAAACATCACACGTCTGGACACAAAGAGAAAAGCCCTCTAAAGCGGGGGGGGGGGGGCGGGGGGCACGAGAGGGCCTTCCACAAGACCTCCGTGGGCCACATCCTTGCTGAGGAGAGGGAGGGGGCCCGACATGACAGGGGAGAGGTATAGGGAGCGCCTGCTACCCTGGTGAAAGATCAGTCAGGAGCAGCGTTGGCAGACGCAGATGTCTTGGCCTTCTTCGCTGCTGCCTCGATGAACGAAGAGACTCTCCCCCTTGACTCGGCCGAGACAGACTCGGACTGCGCCTCTTTCCAGGCGCGTTAAAAATTGTCGAACGCATCAGAGTCCTCAGGATCAACCTGGGGCATTGCTTCATCCACAGGCGTGCCGACTCCCGCCCCAGCCCCTTGCGCCCGTCCCCCCACCCTCACCAGCATCAGCACCGCCAGCTCCGCTGGCAGGCTGTGGCCCTTGGGCGAAAGACTCGCAGCTTGGCCTGAGCTTAGCCCAACCCTCGTGGATGGCAGCCAGGTCCCCCGACGCCAACACTGAGTCGAAGTCGGACACGTGGCCTTGGAACTCCGCCGCCTGAGGGGGCGGCGGAAGGTCGGCAACCTTCGCCGCCAGCTCGAGGTAGCGCGCCTTGAGCTGTACCCGCTGAACACCAGCCTCGGCCCGCTTCTCGTTGAGCTCCTTGAGACGCGCCTGGGCGTCACTGATCTGCTTGTCGAGAGACACAACCAGGCGTTCGTTCTTCTCCAAAGCCTGCTGCGCCTCGTTGGCCTGCTGACGAAGAGGACGAGCTTCTGACTGACGAGAACGAATGGCAGTGGCTGAGGCTTCGACCGAGCTGTCCACCGCCGCACGCTCGGGGAAGTCCTCCTTGAGCTGGCCCATGAGCGTCTTGATCTGGGACAGCAGCGAAAGGGGATCCGAAGGGGAAGCCAGCATGCCGCCTCGACCGCTGCCACGTCCGCCAGCCCCTTTGCCCCCACCGCCGATACCGCCGCCTCCGCCGTTGCCTTTGAAGCCTCCCTTACCGCCGAGAGGACCCT